ACTCATTACTCGTTACCAACTTACACATTTTATTACACTAATTTAAAATATTTTTCTCAACTTTTTAACCAATTTCTTTCTACCTCGTATATATAAACTTAATAAAAAAAACTATTCAAAATGTTGAATCAATTTGTATGACTTGCAAACTTGTTATGTAATTAATCGTAATTGGGAAAGTACACTAGCTAATAGTAATGGTGACATCAACATTCACAACCAAAAGACACCATTAATTGTTTATTTGATATTTTAGTATTATTTCAGTAGTAATTGGATTAAAGTATCTCGTTTAGTATAACCATGCAAATCTAGTATTTGGTGTGTGGTATTTGGTAAAAGCAAAGTTATAAAAGGAGTTATTTCGAAATAACTCATTGCCCAAACAACTTCAGTAAACTGTTGCCTTACAAGTTATTTGTAAAATTGTTCGAATTATCCTAAAAATTGAACCATTAAAGATTAACTATCAAATTTCATAAATATGTTGTGACTTCAATTATAATTTACTCAATAACATATACCATATACACTTAACCCTTATCCTCGACCGACAATATTAAGTAAGCATATGTTGTTCATCGTATACCCTAAACCATCAATACATTTTACACTAACCATGTACCCTATACACTAATCACATACCCTATACTCTAACCATATATCCTAATGAGTTGTGATTTTGCTAATATAGTTAATTTAAGTGAAGTTCGGGCTTTGATTTTCAAAATATAGATAAAAAAGGGATCTTTGTTATACCGTAACCATATACCCTATACTCTAAACCATATACCCTATGCCCTAACCACGGGTAGTTATCACAAATGGTCACAAACCTACTCACTTTGTACAAAATGGTCACAAATCTTTAATTTTGCACGTTTTAGTAAAACAAGTTTAAGTGAATAACAAAATGGTCAATCCGTTCACTTCCGTCCAAAAATCTGTTAGTTTTGCCCAATCAGCATGACACGTCATTAAAAATATTAATAAAAAATTCATTTAAGCATCCAAATTAACTCGTATAACCCTAACCGATTCACAAGCTATCTAACCACTCGACCGCACACTAATACCCACCCCTTCCTCTCTCGTACCCTTCATAACTCCGACGCCCGCCGTGGTTTCTCTCTCCTAGTCCAGTCGCCGCCACTGCTCCACTCCTCTTCTCTGCTTCACTAGAGACGGGAAACAGCAGGAGATTGAAGCGGCGTTTGTACGTCCACTTCAGAAAATAGTTTATTTTTTCAATTCAGTAGTAGACGGCGAAAGAGAGATGGGGGACCACTTCAATTGATTTGGGTTTCCTCCAGTGAAGCTCGCCGAGCTTTGCCTCCACCGCCCACACGTACTCCTCCGCGCAGCCGTTCTCCTACTCAATCAGCAGCGCCATCGTGATTTTGATTAATCATAAATCTAACTAATATTATATTATAATTCATTTGTGGTGGCAATTGAGCTCTCCGACCATCTGTGTGATTGAGGAATCAGGGAGCCTGGGAGAGAAGACAACAAATTGATGAATAATGATGGTAGCCGGTGGATTTGGAGATCAAGATGGATCATTTGGTGATTGCGTAGATGGTATAGATGATCCCCGGGATGTATACGAAGAGGGAGAGAAACCACAGCTGTCGACGGGATGAAGGGCACGAGATAGGAAGGGTTGGGTACGGCGGGTGGTTACAGAACTAGTGAATCGGTTAGGGTTGTGCGGGTTTATTCGAATGATTCAATAATTTTTTTATTAATATTTTTAATGACGTGTCATGTTGACTAGGCAAAACTAACAGATTTTTGGACGGAAGTGGACGGATTGACCTTTTTGTTATTCACTCAAACTTATTTTACTGAAACGTACAAAATTAAAGATTTGTGACCATTTTGTACAAAGTGAATAGGTTTGTGACCATTTGTGATAACTACCCCCCTAACCACGTACCCTAAACATAGATTACAAAGGGATCTCTTGTCGTTAAAGACTTCAAATGACTTCAAGTGAACATATTACATATGTTAATAAAAAACTTCAACCGTCAAAACCATCAATACCTTATACACTAACCATACACACCCTAAACCATGTCTACCTTATACCCTCTACCCTAACCATATACTCTATACCCTAAACAACAAATCGTTAAAGATTACTTATCAAGTTTTGTAGAATCGTTGTGACTTCAATCATAACTCTACTCGATTCATATAAAAAAAACATTACAACTCTACTTGATAACATATACCCTATACTCGGGTTGCGAGTTATTCGGTTGAGCGTATCGAGTTAGTTACTTATGACTCGTTACTACAACTTATATATTTTTATTACACTAATTAAAACATTTTTCAGAATTTTTAGCCAACATGATGATGTTCACCGATGATGATGTTAACTAGTGTCTGGTACTTTTACGTTAGAATTTTGTGTCGAGTAGGCAATCGATATAATATTTAAACAAATCAATTTATATTCAAATAATTAAATTTGTTAAGGGAATGTGTGTCTTTTGACATGAACAAAAATGAAAAAAAAATCTCATCTTAATCTAAAATAAATTATCACTCCTAAGTCCTACCTTCATCTAAAAATTTCCGAATATTTAAGAGTTAGCTAAACTTTCTATTCATAAAATATAAAAACGTGGCTAAATTTCTTTTTGGTGGAAACGTGGCTAAATTAATAGTGAGGACTCAGGAGGGAAAATTTCCCCCCTTCTCGATCCCTTGTTAGTTTCAAAAAAATTGAACGAGTGAGACTAACTCCAACCCAAAAGGCTATATTTAGCCTCCCAAGCTCTCAAATGTGCATTTTTGCCTCCCCAAAACACTTTTTTGCTCCAACCCTATAGACTTCCAAATTTAGCTTCCCACATCCTTTTTTTATTTAATTTCCATAAACCATACTTATTCACAATATCATTCTTGTAATTCACTTTAATTTTTTTATAGTTTGTTATTACTTTTGAAAACAAAATTTTTGATGTAATTTTTTTTTAATTCTGAGATTTTTTTTTTGCAAAATTAGTCATTTTTTTGTAGTCGTTACTTTATGACTGTTTTTTTGGACCAATCCAAATATGACCGTTTTTTTTAGCCGTTACTTTATGACCGTTTTCTTGTTTTCTGAATCATATGTGTTTATAAATTACAATTCTTCATTTTTCATCAACTCACCTGAAACTTCTTCCCATTTCTAAAACAAACACATTCATCATGAGTATGTCAGATAGCTCATCGTCGGGAGTAGAAGAAGAAATCGAAGAGTACGAGAGGTTTCACCACCTACGGTTGAGTTTAATCGGCCGGAGGCTGGCTGAAGGTTCATCAAGTCGACGTCAAACTACAAGTCGACGTCACATTGATCGTGAAAGGGTCGAATGTAATCCACCCTTTCCCATAATCTCGTGCTCTTTTGATTGATGCCAACCGCTCCATCTTCAGATACTGATATCCAAGATTTGCACAAGTTTACATCTTCATGAGCTTTCCAATTGGGTCCTCTCTTATTTGACATGTTTTTGTTTTGAGAGATGATAAATAGATGAGAATGAGAGAAATTGATTTGAGAATGAGTGCAGAAAAACCATGAGAAGTTACTCATTATATAGAGAAAAAAAAATATGACCGTTAAAATGTGTCCGTTGCAATGTGACCGTTTTATTGTCACTATATTACTCTTCTTTCAAACTAAAACGCAAACACACCCACACAAATAGCCACTCAAAATAATTGAAAACAAAATACAAAAGCAGCAGAAAAGTGGGGGACCCACGCAAATATCCAGCTGCTATATTTGCCTCCTCTTCCACTTTAGCTTCTATCTATCCACCCCCAACCCCACTTCTCCAAATTTGCAAGCCAATTAATTGGTGGGTTGGAGATGAAAAAAGCCAAAAAGTTCTCTTTCTCCAAATTTGCAAGCAAGGGTTGGAGACAGTCTGAGTGGCTAAACTTTTAGCGGGTTCGTTTTTGTAAAATTGGATTTGACGGAAATTTTCAGAAGAGCAGCTAAATTTCGCGGGCTCCTCCTTTCCTGAAAATTTGTCGATTAAACTAGGACTTTCTTACGCAGTTGTAGAGAAATCTTCTGGAACTTCTCTCAATTTCCCTTTACCTCTACTTTCCCCTCTACCACCTCCGCCGCTGTTGGTCTCTGTATCTCCATCATCATTTCATCTCCCAAACCACTCCTCTACTCCGGAATCATCAATTGCAGCGTGTCAACACTACGACCTAAGCATCCATCAACTTTCCTTTCACCTTCTCGTTCCCTCTCCAGCGCTATACGCTACCTCCACTGTCTCCATCATCGTTGCTCTCTTCGTCTCCGTCTTGTTGGCATCTCCCTGAACCGAGGATGATCCATTTGTCACTGGCCCCTGTCTATTCTGTGTCATGTTGCAAAACGTCACAAGTCCCGGTGATATCAATTTGGATTTTCTGTAATTTCCATCTGCATCAGGTCATTCAATTCTTTGAATAGGTTGCGAGGTTTGTTCCTAGAGCTGCTCCTTTCACCAAACATATCTTATGGATGCTTCAATTTCTTATGGCTAAATTACACATTTGGTCACTCGAATTAAATAAACATTTCACGTTTGCCATCCAAATTAATTTTCTTTCAATTTAACCACTCACTTTACGAATCGTTTCACCGTTGGTCACCCTCCGTCAGTCTCCGTCAGACTCCGTTAACGGGGTCAGATTTTTGATGACGTGGCAAACGGAAGTGCTGACTGGGCTGACAAAGAGGCTAAAAAATACGGGTTTGACTGCCTAGTCAGCCACATACCCGACCCAGCAACTTAATTGACCCCTTTTTTTGTATTTCATTTTTCTTTTCTTTTATTTTTATTAGAAAAAGCTTTACTTTTTGTGTGAAATTTGAAAACTGAAAACGATCGGGCAGTAGAAGGGGGTTTTCACTTCTCTTCTCTTCGACTTCTCTTCTCTGCGTTTTTCACCCGAGGCGGCGACGTCGATCTCGATCAGGGGAGAAGGAGAAGCGCGGGTACTTCTTCGTCCTAACGTTGACGGGCGACAGCGACGAGCACCGCCTCAGCCCGGCCGCAATCGCCGACGTCCTCTCATCCCTCCGCGAAGCGAAATCGCAGGCCACCAGGGGCTCGGTCCTCATCACCACATCCCAGGGCCGATTCTTCTCCAACGGCCTCGATCTGGGCTGGGCCCGGTCCGCCGGGTCCAGATCCGAGGCCGCCGAGCGGCTCAACCACATGGTCGACTCGTTCCGCCCCATCGTCGCCGAGCTGATCTCCCTCCCGATGCCTACCGTCGCCGTCGTCCAGGGCCACGCCGCCGCCGCCGGGTTCGTCCTCGCCCTCTGCCACAACTACGTGCTCATGAGGAGCGACCGAGGGGTTCTGTACATGAGCGAGGTGGATCTGGGGATTCCCTTGCCGGACTACTTCACCGTGCTGTTTCGGGCCAAGATCGGGTCGGTTTCGGCCCGGCGGGATGCGCTGCTGCGAGGGACGAAGATCAGGGGAGCGGATGCGGCGAGGCTGGGGATCGTCGACGGGGTGAAGGGTAGCGAGGAGGAGCTGGAGGACGCTGGAATTCGCCTGGCGGAGCAGTTGGCGGCCAGGAAGTGGGACGGCGAGATTTACAAGGTGATAAGGCAGAGTTTGTATCCGGAGCTTTGTGGCGTCCTTGGTTTGGGCGTTTCCAAACCAGTCTTGTCCAAGCTTTGAAATTGCAGATCTACCCATTACGCATCCTCGGCTTTAATCTTTGCAGGTGTGATCTGAAATTGGATTTGGGGGTAATGGGGATTTCTGGTTTGCTGGCTCTGATTTTCCCCCTTGCAGCCTCCCCTTCTCCCCTGATCGAGATCGACGTCGCCGCCTCGGGTGAAAAACGCAGAGAAGAGAAGTCGAAGAGAAGAGAAGTGGAAAACCCCTTCTACTGCCCGATCGTTTTCACTTTTCACTTTTCACACAAAAAGTAAAGCTATTTCTAATAAAAATAAAAGAAAAGAAAAATGAAATACAAAAAAAGGGGTCAATTAAGTTGCTGGGTCGGGTATGTGGCTGACTAGGCAGTCAAACCCGTATTTTTTAGCCTCTCTGCCAGCCTAGTCAGCACTTCCGTTTGCCACGTCATCAAAAATCTGACGGCGTTAACGGAGTCTGACGGAGTGTGACCAACGGTGAAACGATTCGTAAAGTGAGTGGTTAAATTGAAAGAAAATTAATTTGGGTGGCAAACGTGAAATGTTTATGTAATTCGAGTGACCAAATGTGTAATTTTGCCAATTTCTTATCCATGAAATGTGATCTTATGTCTTCTCTAACTATTTGGATTTGTTTTTCTTCAGCCAATTGTGGATGCTAGAAGCAAAAAGAAATTCTTTTGGTGCTCAAACTTAAGAAGAATTAGTTTGATCCAGGGGTTGACATATGGGTCAAAGGCATATTTGGAACAGGGTTTTGTAGCAAATGGTTATGAGCATCCCTGCTGCATATAGGTGGCAATTAGGATCCAAATTCATGAATCCAATCCAATCCATCCACCAAATTATCCACTTAATCCAATCCATTTAAATCCAATCCATTTTATCCAAATCCAATTGGATTGGTGGATTCATGGATCAATCCATGGATCCAAATGGCAAATTACGATTTGGTACCTATATTTTTTATATTTTACATTTTGGTACCTAAAATTTATATTTTTATACGAAAAAAATCATTGGAAAATTACATTTTGGTACCTAAATTTTTTCATTATGACGTTTTAGTACCTAAACTTTTTAAAATTTACATTTTGATCCAATTCTTGGATGTCATTAGGATTCATGGATCAATCCACCAATCCATTTGATCCAATCCATGAATCCACCAATCCATTTGATCCATGGATCCACCAATCCAATCCACGAATCCACGAATCCGATCCAATTGCCACTTCTACTGCTGCATTCCCAACTCGTTATTTGATTTTATTGCTAAGTTATTGTACATTGTTTGTTGGGGCCTTACATTAATCTTGACTTCGTAGTAGAATGTTCAATTGACTTCTTGAAGTATAGTTACATACTTACATGGGATGACTGTGATGGTTATAGTTTGCGTTGCCAGAGCTATTCAGATATATCGTCATTGTGAGTGATACTTCATATCGTCAGTGTCTTACTGTTCCTTTATAGTTGGCGCTTAAGGTGCAAGGTACTGAAAATCAAATGCCTTTCCTCTGTTTGAATGAAGGTGATCTAAGCTTGATTACAGTTGCTGCCTCTTTTTTTGCAGATCCAAAGGAAGATGAGGGAATTTTCTTATTGAAGCTGCTGCTACTTCTCAAGGAGGTAGATGAATGAACTTCACATAGAGCTTCCCTTTCTAGTTCCCTTAATTTATTCTAGATTAATTTTGTAGATTTGCAGAGTAATCATTAATCGATGTACATTTGTTGATATAGACAATGACGGTTTGCATTTTAATATGTCAAATAGCTTTCGAGGCTTGTTGTTGTAAATGAATGTGTGTAGCAAATTCATTTGCATCATATTGTATTTTCTATCTCTTTCGGATGTATAATTGACCCATTTGTATTGTTTCATATTCTCAAAGTGTAGTAAACATGAGGGAGGCTTGGGGTTTCGTCGGTTTGAGCAATTCAATCAGGCCTTGCTTGCTAAAATTGGGTGGCGTCTCCTTAGTGAGCCTCATTCCCTTTTGGCCCAAGTTTATAAAGGGAAGTATTTTTCGAATGGGTCTTTTTTGGAGGCGTTGCCTAGATCTAGACCCTCATGGGGATGGCAGAGCATCCTGTTTGGTAGACAGCTGCTGGTGAAGGGGTTGCGGTGGCAGATCGGGAATGGCCAGTCAGCACCCTTGTTGACCTCTGATTGGATTCCTCGGCTCCATGGTGATCCCCCTTTTTATAACCCTCGGGTGTTGCCAGGGGGGCGGGAGCCTCGGGTTGTGGAGGTCATGCGTTCAGGGGGGGGGCCTGGGATGATGAAAAGTTAGGCCAGTGGTTTGACCCTGCCACATGTGAGGCCATTCGGGCTATCCCTCTTCCGCGGCATGATGTGGAGGATCGATTAGTCTGGCATGCGACGGTGGATGGGGTCTTCACGGTGAAATCGGCGTATCATTTGGCAATGGACATTGATCGAAGAGGGAGTGCCTGGCGGTCGATGGTAGGGTGGATGGATAGGTCGTCTTGGATCCGGCTTTGGGACGCTAATATCCCTCCTAAGCTTAAAGTTTTTGTCTGGCAGATCTTTAATCGCATCTTGCCAACCACTGAGGCTCTGATAGAGAGGAAGGTTACGGTTCATCCTCGTTGTCCGGTCTGCTGGGCTAGTAAGGAAACACTGGAGCATTTATTTTTGGACTGTCCAGTGGCGCGAGCCCTTTGGGATCTTTCTGGCTTGGCATATTTGGGGGAGGGGCTGCCCCGGCACACTTTTCCGTTGTTTCTGAAAAGATTGATGGCTTTGATCCACCATCCTACTCTGTTTATGGCTTTGGTTGCCGTTCTTTGGCGTATATGGCGGTCCAGGAACTGGGTGGTCTTTGAGGGCAAACGGTTTGGGTTCGCGGCTTTGATACGTCAGTTTCAGCAACAGTATGAGGAATGGGTCCGGCTGCCAGTTGACTCTGCCCCGAGCAGGCCTCCTGTTCCCCTGGTCTCGCCCCAGACGGGCCTGGCTAATGGGGTGGTGTGTATGTGGGATGGTGCTGTTCGGAGGGGGTCGTACTCGGCTGGTGGGGTTGTTCTTTTTACGCCTTCACGGGATGTTTGGCTGGTGAAGGGGGTGTGGTTGCCAGGGATGGATGACCCTCTTGTGGTGGAGATGCTAGTCTTGAGAGAGGCTGTTTTGTGGTGCTTATCGTTGGGCCTGTCTGAGGTGCGGTTTGAAGGGGATGCTAAGGTTATCATTGATAAGCTTAATCTTGGAGATGCTAGGGATAGCCGCGTTGGAGCTATTTTGGAGGAACTCAATCAGTATTTTCATAGCGCGTCCGGATTTAGTGTTCGATTTATAGGTCGGAGTAGTAATAGGGTAGCCCATTCGGTGGCTCGTAAAGCCCTTTCTCTGTACTCGACTGGTAGTCGTTCTTTTGATTTTCGGGCCTGGCTTACTTCCAGGATGTAATTGTCTTCTGATTCGATCTAATATATGATTATCTTTTGTTATAAAAAAAATGTTTAACGCTATGGCTACTACTACTTGGAGAATCAAATAAAAAGATCTTGAAGAGTTTGTTTAAAGATATAATACGGTGTGTTATATGATATCAACTGAAATTAATTTGTTTTTATCTAGGAAAAGAAATCATTTTAATTAAAATACATCGTTTCAAGTAAATTTTAGATTTTGAACATCACTTAGAGAAATAAAAAAATAGTTTGCTTTGGTTTAGAACCAAAAACTTCATTTGGAAGACTATATATTATATAATATAGCAAATATTCGGATCAATCGGGTGGGTTGCGGGTTAGTTGAGTTTGGGTCAACCAGGTTGCGGGTTAGTCGGGTTCGGATTCAATCGGGTTGCGGGTCAATCAGGTTCGGTTTAATTGGGTTGCGGGTCAATCGGGTTACGGGTCATTGACTTTTAGTAAGTTCGGGTTACGGGTCGGGTTAAACGGGGGCAGATTGCTCGGGTCGGGTTCTGTTTTGACACCTATACCTACGGGTATCGAATCTGTGCTCGTATCAGAGGGCCTTATTTGTTATCTAGGTATAGACATAGTACATGAGCTTGTTTCATTAAAAGTATAAAACAGAGGCTCATTTGTTATCTTTCGATAGTACAGGGACTTGGATGCTTTTTAATCGAGGAAAGAAGATAGTGATCACCAAATGTTACATCATTTTATTTGGATTTTTTCCACAAATACCACCATTAAACTAAAAAATTCAAAAAATACAATAATTTTCAGAAAAATTCCAGTCATACAACCTTTCACAAAAATCGCCACATGGGGCAATGGTTTTTGTAAATAACCGCAGGGAATTGTGGTTGTTTAAATTTTCGCCACAAACCGCATGGCCACAAGGCGATTTTATGGCTGCCCTAAAACAGACCGGATCCGCCGATTTTAAATCGACAAATAGAACCACGGCATTTTTCGGCGGTTTAATTTGCCGACACACAAATCGTCTCCATTCCCTAGAAAACCGACATTTCGGCATGCAGAGGGTTGCAGATGTTGGGTTTACATGTCAATTGAAGTGATATCAAATGATGAATAAGTGAGTTGTCAATTTACAAACCACTAAAAAGATTTGCAAGATTCTAATCCTCGGTGATGGACTGCAATAACTATTAACCCTAATTGGTTAACGAAGCTTCTATTAGGAAACAGCCGTCGAACCAATTTCGTGATTAATGTTTGTTTTTTGGTTTACGAATAGTAATTAACTAATTATAATAGACAATAATAAACTGGATGGCTAAACGTCGCCCTAGTTTTACTATTATCGCCCTAATTTAAAACGCAATTTTACTAAACTATCCTTGATTAATCAATCCAAATTCAACAAACCAAACAGACCCCTAAAATACCCAATCCTCATTTAACGTGTCTAACCTCTACAAAAAACCAATCCTCGGCGACCGACATCCTTCCTCCATCGCCGTTCTTTCTAAAGTTTCAATCTTGGATAAAAGCTTCTTTTTTGAGAGCACATGGAAGCTGCTCGTTGGCTTTGTCACTAGCAACAAGTCAACAACCCTTCCCCAAACCTTATCATCCCTGTCGACTCCTGCCGTTGATTTCTCCGATCACCTTCAACACGGACTCGGACCGTCGGACGTGTACAGCGTCTTCAAGAAATCAGTCGTGTCTGTAACTCCATTGCTTCTTCCAAGGGAATGATGTGCGTGTGTTGCGAAACCGGATAAATTAATTTCAATTGAAAACGCTACTTGAAGCCTAAAACCTGCCGCCTGATTGGCGTAGCCGATGAGCATGGTTGCTGCCGCATTTGGCTCCAGCAACAAACCCCATAGTTGCTTCGCCTAGGTAGGGAACCAAAAAATAATTTATACCTATTCAGTTTTAATGGTGGAAGGAATTTTGTTTGTTTTAATAAAAAACGTAAAGGATAAAAAAATAATTTTAATGTCAAAGTTAGGGCGATTAATAAAATTTAGGGCGACAATTAGCAACCCTAACCCCGTCATCCGTTCACTTTTTGCATCCCAACTCCGCTTCGGCTGGCTGACCTCATTAGCTTCTTCGCTCTCCGTTGGTACTGTCCGGTTGTCGTTTTTATTCGCATCTCTCTCTCTCTCTCTCTCTGTAACAAAGTTCACACATATCAAGACGGAGCCGTCCGTCGTACAATTCAGGGACCAAAGAAAAAAACTGAAAAGAGGACTTGCCAAAATAATCCCCTAGGGTTTCGAAATTCCCTTCCCTCTCTCTCGCTCCTCCTTCGCGCTCTCTTTCTCTCTCTCCATCTGTGTCTCTCTCCCCGCCCTCCGCGATTTTCTTCTCCCAATCGCCATACCCCCTCGGGCTCTTCTCCTTCTTCTTTATTACTTTTCCGCTTTTTCCACGGCCAGCTTTTGTCCGCCGGGTAACTTTGGAGGAGGGGGGAGACTGGTGCTTCTCACGTCTTTTCTCGTTCGGTGCCCCGGGGACCCCCTGAGTTTTCTTCTTCTTTTCGGGTTTTCTTCTCTTGTTTCGCTGGAATCGGGAAACGATTTGCAAGAGAAGGAAAGAAAAAGAGAAGAAAGAGTCGGCCTTTTACGGGAGATTCACTCGTTTCCCGGCTTGTTGAACTGAGGTAATTCCGCCTCTCTGTTTGTTTGTGTTCGTGATGAAATTCTCTTTTTTGTAATTGATCTAATTTTTATTTAAGGGAATACTCCATCGAGATTGATTCCTATCTGTAGCAATCGTTCGTCGTGATGTTTGTTTATCTTCATATACTTCGTTTCTATTCCATTATTTGTTCTATTCTTTCCCTGTGTTGAATGAATGTTTGATCTCAAATTTCAGGGGGGAATGGGCTGTCTGTCTATTGGGATTGGGGGAAGAAAGGAAGGAAATTTGCTGCTCAGGAATCTTGCAATCTCCAAGGGGGAGAGAGACACGTGTTAGGGAAATCCTTGTTTTGGTAATGTCAAATACCATTCGTTCTATCGTTGTTCTTAATCATCGTCGTGATATTACTTGTACTGGTTTCTAGTTGTTGGTTTGCCTATGGATTTGGAAGTAGCTGCTGCACCATTTGCTCCACCTTCTAGGGATTTGGCCAAATGTTGCAATTGTGGATGTAGTAGCTGTTCTACGGGCTCTTCCTCCTCTGGGCCCTGGATAAAATCTGTGAAGAGGAAATATGATGAATTTGAGGGGAAGCCTTTTGTTATACCGGGTCTCGACCTCATTTCAAATCCACGGATCCAAATTGAGAATGAAATTGTTGCCCTGAGAGAGAGCGTCAGTAGCCAACAGCAGGCAATCCAGGATTTATATGCTGAACTGGAAGAGGAGAGAAATGCTGCTTCCTCAGCTGCAAATGAGGCCATGTCTATGATTTTGAGGTTGCAGAGGGAAAAGGCCGAGGTCCAGATGGAGGCAAGACAGTTCAAGCGTTTTGCAGAGGAGAAGATGGCCCATGATCAGGAAGAGCTTGCGTCATTGGAAGATGTGTTGTACAAGAAAGAGCAGGCTATTCAATCTCTTACCTGCGAAGTGCAAGCCTACAAGCATAGGATGTTGAGTTATGGGCTTACAGAGTCTGAGGTAGAAGGTGGGTTTAGCCGGAACCAGAGTATGTCTGATAATATGGGCTCGCAGTTTGATTTCCCAGAATATGATTACCCGCCACTGAAGTGCAATTTGAATGAGAACCAAGCTGCTGCTGAGGCTGATGAAGAAGAAGTTGTGGATGTTGAGAAATATGCATTTGGCGAGACTCCTCGTTATGGGGAAGTCCCTTGTCATAACGATACTCCTCGCGGTAACGATCATTTGAAGAATCTGGAATATAGAATCTACCAGATGGAGAGGTCTCCTAGGAGCAGTCAATTGGATGCTGATGTTTCTGGTGGGAATGGGAAACATATTTTGGAGAAGGTGATAGTTGGTCAGTCTCCAAGGAAGACAAGGCATAATCGGATTCTTTCTGTTGAGAGCTCGGGTTCATTGAGAGGGGGGGGCGAGAGAAACAGCTACAGAATCACCTTCATACAAGTTCCCTAATAGCTTTAAGAAAGCAGATTATGTTACTCATCCGGAAGAACACAAGTTTCCAAGGAAGGCAGATTATAATGCCTCAGAATTTGAAGACGAGATGGATGACAGAGTTTATACCATTGATTCTGTGCACAATGGGGTAAATGATCATAAAGAGGATTATGTTTCAAGCCCAAGAACAGAAATGTTTGATCAGCCTGACCTGAGTGATCCTGATATAAAGAAACTATACACAAGGCTCCATGCACTTGAGGCTGACAGGGAATCAATGAGGCAGGCAATTATCTCAATGCGTACTGACAAAGCACAATTGGTACTACTGAAAGAAATTGCCCAGCAGTTGTGCAAGGACATGACACCTGAGCGTAGAGTACCGGTGAAGAAGCCCTCTATTGCAGGAGCCCTTAAATTCATATCTGTTGTCAAGGTATGCTTGATGTGCTATAATTGTCTTCTTTGTGCTGATACGGTGACACTACTTTATCTATGAAAATTTAGAAATCCGTGATCATTGGAAACTACTTGTCATGTGATTCTTTCTTGTGCTATGTGGCCTATCTTTAATTTTCTTCTGGCTGCCTGCCAGGCATCAAAGACTGGTAAGTAGCACTTCTAGGTGGTAAGGAGAACATTTCTAGTCCTGTGTTCTTTTGTTCAATTGGTTTCTTCTCCTTTTAATAGTTTCAATAATTTATGCTTCTTCATGATCTGAACTGTTCTTATATATGTAAGAATTTTTGCTTGGTTGATTATTACGTTTAGCCATTTACATGTCTTCCATTTTGATGTTCAGTGGGTTACATCCTTTGCCTTCTGGAGGAAGAGAGCTCGCCAAAGCAGCAGGTAAGTAACTCATGTCTAGTTGACATTGTTTTAACTTCCAAGACTCGGCTGACATTATAAGTTCAACCTGTGTGACTCCTCTCACAGGGCTACCTGGCAGCAGGCAGATAAAGTAACTTGTTTTCCTTTTGATGGATACAATCGTTCCTTTATAACCCAAAACATGTTTTAGGGACCGTAACCATAATTTCACAATGCCTGTCCATGAACCAGAGGGGAAAGACTAGAACTTGTGAAAATAGAGAAGCACTTTGGTTTCTGGGTGTGCTTTTAGTATCTTGTTTAGTTTGTTTCCTTGAGTAGGGCATTAACTTCTTGCTAATGTTAAGAGATGTAAATACGTCTTAATGCTTGTTGAGATTATGGTCATTCAGGTACATGTTTGGAGCTTCAAGTGATAGTGATGGCTTGCTAATGCTTCTGGACAAAAATGCACGAGCAAGGCAGCATTGGAGATTTCTGTCAAGAACCCACCTGTAAAAGCTACATCTCCCTTACCAATGCTCCCCAAATACAATCATTTTTTTGGGGATCAAGTAGCGTAATTGGATCAAATTTGTGAAGGTGGTGTTTGTGATTGGTAATTGTGACTTTGGTGGTGGGTTCTTTCATGGCTTGAGTTTTGTTTTGCTGGGTTTGAACAACGTATGTGAGACAAAGAAAAGAGGAACAGGAAGGTGTTAGCATAGAAGTGTGGGCAAGGTATGTGTAAGTGTAATATCCCTGCCGTTAGTTTGTTGGGAAATTCTTTTGTTTCTTTTAGCTCAAGGCACCGTGCTTGGCTTTTTTCTAACACTCGCCCCCTCTCTAGTGTATATTGCAGATTCTTGTATGATTTGTGTAAGATTCAATTGCGCAATGGCTATTGTATTCTCGATCTTATGCCATAATCCAGACAGCGTTATCTCTCTTCCCAAGTCCCAGCCCTATTTTCGGTCGAACTCAAATTTCAAGCTTTGAATCCGATAGCGTGACTGGTGTTTTGATTATTGTATGACTGCTGGATCAACACTTTGAGGTTGGTACTGGGATTGTATAGCTTGTTATTCTTCATCTATTTGTTTAACGTTCGAGGATGAAAATTGTGCACTCTTGTATTCTTAATCTATTTGTTTAACGTTCCAGGGTGAAAAATGTGCACTCTTGTATTCTTCTAATTGCATCTTAAATCCGACGATCAAGAAAAGCAACCATACGACAGAGAAAGCAACTGATGCTCTGTAATTGATAACTTACTAACCACGTAATGTAACCACTGACAAAGCCTAGCAAATAACAAAGTCTCAGTGGCAGGTAGGTTAATACTGTGCAAGAAATGTAAAGTTCCCGGGAAAATGATGGGAGGGAGAGAAAGGAACCCTACAACCCCAATCATCACAACGATGACAAATGAATATGATGTGCCAAACCCGACTTTTATCTCAAAAAGGTTCTCTCTCTGGAAAGGAAGAAGACGCCATTGCAATTATGCATCTTTGTTGATTAGTCAGATTTAGGCCTCAAGCACTTTCATTTAAAAACAATCCAACTTCCAAGTAATTTTATATTGCAGATGTTGCAGACTGGACGTTGAACTTTACAAGCTCTTGCTGACCCAATCGCAACTAAGTTTGGACAGCGAATCCAACAAACAACAATGAGAAAAACGGAAAACAGAATCCACAAGACTTACGGGCTATCTGACCAGTTCCAAATCTAGGTGAACGGATTGTCATCTCTTACGCGCTAATCTCTAAAATATAATACACAATTTTTTCATCAATGTCTCGTTACTTCAAAATTTCTCAACAATTTCTATAGCCAACCAAAAAAATTCTTAATTTCTTTTTCATTTATAATTTAAATATTTTTTTCATTTGTAGATCTAACTCTAAATTGAAAAGTGACAATCAGAAGATGACAAAACTCTCATACGAGATGCTTTGTATGTTCAGGAGCTAACTCATAATCTACCTAGTGTGGGACAACTGATGCTGAAAAATTACAAGTTCTTATTTGATAATGATGTGTGCTAGATTATCAACAAACCTGACAATTTCACGGTGTCAAAAGTCCTAATGACTTCCAAAAAAAATTCTCTCTTGCTATGTCACAAAATAGTGAACTAGCATTCAAGAGTGAAAATCTGAGTCACTCCTTTCTATGGCATCTGAGATATGGTCATCTCAACATCAAAGATCTCAAATGGTTGAGAAAGAAAAATATGGAGGCAGCGAAAGGTGTTGGCCTAAGGGTTAAATCCTGCACCATGAAGATCTGACGTTGCACTAATTCCAACCATTTTTATGGCATAGGCTTCCTCCAAATTAGGTTGGCGAATGTCAGAAACCTGTCTTCTAGAAAGTTTAGCAAATGTCCCAAATTCCTCTAGAATCTTATCATCGGGAATATCCCAAATGCTACGCCCATAGAGAGTCTTCACGGAATCAAGAATTTGACGGCGTAATCCTAGTGCAAACAAGTGAGCTAGGTGAATGCTCGTGAATCCATGATCGAGCCATTTGTAGAGAAGCCTCTGGTAACGACATCATGACTCATAGAGCGACGCTGAATCGCTTTGTTTAAACCTCATAATGCAAGAGGATGGATCATATTCCAACTTGGGGGCTACCCATTCATCCATATCTGGGAATCGAGACTTCCTAGAAATAGGTCCCCCCCCCCCCCCAGAAAAGGGCACCCCGTGTGCCGAAGTCAAAAGAATTTAGGCGTTTGGACTGTCGATTTTAGTTTCCCTTAAAACATACAGAAACTGACTCGACACGAAAAGAAAAGCAAAAGAATTAAAAGGATAGAATATAACTCGTATCTGGTTCATTTTCTTAAGTTTGTGAGATGTCGCCAGCAACGAACGTATTTATCTGGGGCCTCTCGCAGAACACTTACTTTGGTGGCGAGGTATAGCTCCATTTGAGTTAAAATGATGTAGGAGGTTGAGGTGCCTCCAGTTTTTGCAAAACAAAATCGAAAAGGAAAAGAGTGCATAAAAGTAAACCTAAGACTAAGGTTGGATGGACGAGAGAGCAGAGAAGGAAGGCATTGAAGCTCCCTTTAGGTCTTCTAGTCATGTATCCTTCGATATCTGGCAATGTACGAGCTGTTGATTTCTAAATACGTTAGATCCCACCTTGTATTGAAGCATTTGCCCAAACTAATAGGCGACAATGACCCTATGGATTTCTCCCTTGAAACGTCACAACATTCGATCGAATGAAGATCAATCAAGTAGGACTGCCATTTCTAGTCTTAATCCTACATGATTAGGATTTTGATCCTTGCACCTCGAAGGAGTGCAAGGTCGACTATGCAATCATTCGAATCAACAAATCACGAAATAGAGAAAATCAAGCATCAATGCATATGAAATGAAACAATCTTATTAAGCCAAACATCGAGTTTACATAACTAGACCCCCGAGGGTTCACATGTACCTACAAAACTAAAGGAACTAGCCAGCCATAGGGAAGGATTTATGGGTGATCATCGTTCGAAACAAAGCCCCAGCACACCACTGGAATCGGTGGCCACAATAGAGAAATGATGGCATGTGCTGCAGTTTCTGCCGCGGATTCTTCCCTTGAGGGTGGTTTCTCTCTAAGTAAGATGAGTCACTCTATCGGCAGAGTAATGATCCTTTCTTGACCTCTCGTCTCTCCCCCATTTTCTATCTCTAGGGATCTTCAGGGTCACTCATCGTCAATTTCTCTCTATAACTGTCAGTTTTTGCTCCAAAAATCTGATCCCCTTCGCAAACACTTGAAATTGGGTTTAGAACCAGCACCTGCCCGATTTCACGGTCGAGCACGACCGTGCAAATTATTCTTCCTTCCCGTGCACTTCAAAACACGTTGTTTCACTTGAACTCTTCGAAGGGTTGTGCACGATCGCGGCACGACCGTGAAAACCAAGTCCTAGCCCGTGCAAATTCTCTAGTGACTCTGCACGATCGAGGTACCATTTGCACGACCCATGCATACACAAACCGTATCTTCCTCTCCGCATGACCTCGCTTGCACGGCCGTGTAAATCGGGTTCCAGGCCGTGCAAGCTTCCTTTTTGCTCCTTGTCAAACGTACCAAACTTTGTCTCTTCCCAAACTTTGTCCAATCGTCCCAAACTCGTTACTAAGCCTTCATTCGCGTACTAGGACGTGAAATATCACAAACTAGCATAACCTAGCATAAAACAGGCCAAAGTATGATCAATTGCCAAGCCAAATTACCAAGAATTGACGGGGAAAACATGTACAAATTCAGTATTATCAAATTCCCCCACACTTAATTCTTTACTTGTCCCTAAGCAAACTTGACTCAAACCAATGCAACTCACCAGACCATCATAGCAATATGTGACTCGTCCCGAATACCACAACAATTTCTCGCCTAAGGTCCAAGTATAAACCTTAGTCGGGTGCAGTACAGGATAAGTATGTTTAAATATCAATCCAGGCCGGTCCGTCTACCCCTACTTCAGTCATTTGAATCATTATCTAGCAATAAGGTTTTGGTTGAAAAGTTTGCTAATTAAAGTAAAACAAGACAAAGGTAAATGGTTTTGAAAGCTCTTTTGTGGAAGGATCACTCGGGTGTCGCTTCCCCCTAACTATTACCATGGTATGTGAACCGGAATGATTACTATGGGCAAGGTGAACGCTAACCGCTAGGGGACGCAAATATGGTCGTAGACCATGCTCATGATTGCTAAACTAAGGCATTCATTATAGGCTGTCACTAGGCCCTCTCGGTTTAGGCAATCAATGGTTGACTTACTCCCTCACTCAACCCAAGGGTTGGTCGGCTTAATTGCGCTTAACCAAATTGCTTAATCCAATATTGAGGTTTGCCCTAAATTAACCTAGTTAGAAGACTTGAAAATCCCTAGGGATACCAACTCGATTAAGACTCCCTTGGAAGGGGGGTTTCCCTCTCTAGACTAGGTTAAGGAGCTAACTAGATTGCTAGGCATAAAATGCACAATCCTTAGGTTGCTAAGCATGGACATGCACAAAGGCTTCCAATCTTCTTGGCCCTTGTGTTGAACTTTCCTTGGAGGAAATCTTCCGAAAATCCACCTTGGAGCAAAACCCTAGCCTCCTTCTTCCTTGGTTCGTGTTTCTCTCTAGAAATCAGAAGAAGGCTTTCTCACTAATGGGCTACCCCCTCTCTCTTCCTTTCAGCTCATCTTTTAAACCATAGAAGAGCTCAGTTCACGGCCTAAGTTCACGCCCGTGAACTATGAAACGTGTCCGTGAACTGCAGATGAACGCCAAAACGCACCACTTCGTTCACATCTGTTCACGGTCGACAGCCTTAGTTCACGGTCTTACTGACCGTGAACTCACCTTGCGTCAGTAACTTCTGTTTTGGCTCTGGACGCCTCGAGGTTCATGATCAATGGCTCTTCTTCACGGTCTTGCAAGACCGTGAACTTCCTGGGATAGCCGTGAACTGGCCCTTTTCCACCTCTTCTCCCGGTTTTCG